AAACTAATGTCTATTAGTTCTTTCATAAGACGAAGTAAAGCGTTTTTGTGAGCATTCTATGAGATTAAGATGTTATCTAATGTAAAGGAAAGAAGATATTTAGTAATGTAGACAGATATTATCTCTTATTGTATAGTGATTATTGTGAAATTTAATTCATGAACACATGACTCTAGTTAATGAATATCATTTTCAAGAATATGTTCAGTATTTGATAAGAATAGTATTCAAAGAAAAATTTTAAGAGATTTTCACTTGATAAGACTTTGTTGAATATTTAAGATCATTTTGCTAGCTTTTCAATATCGAGCAAATTACTCACAAAAACAAAAACAATGAGCAATAGAACTTCATATGAAAATTTGCTAATTTAGAGATCTTATAATCATTAAAATTTTCTAAAAGTATTAATGAAAATATGTTCTGTTTCAAAATGATACAATATTCACAAACTCTGGTTATCGATGTTTTTTTATGACATAAGAAAGTTTTTATTTAATTGATTTTGCGGTAAAAAAGAAACAATTTGTTTCAATAAAAACTTTAGAGGAATTCTTAAAACTATTATAATAGTAAATATCTAGAATTTCATTGAGAATGATGTAACCATATTTGAAGTCTTGATACTCTTCAGAACAAGATTTCATCGTTTGATTGAACACAAGACATCACTTGAGTTCAATAAGAAAATATCAATCTTTATTCTTGTGTCATATCAGATCTCATCGACTAACTTCTATGAGGTTAACTAATAATATGTTGTAGAAAGTGTCTAACCAAATATGAAAACTATTTTCATTTGAAAGACTAAAATCTAGAAAGATGTTGAATTGTAATTATAGAGTAACGCACAGAATATCTTTTTCAATGGAATGCTTTTCAATATTTTCTGAATATTCTATTCAAAGTTTATTTTGAATGATGTTGTTAGTGTAAACTAAGTCTTTATTCACGTTTCATCATTAGTAGGAATTGAAAAATCGATATGAACATTGTTATCACTCTAAGCATTGAATTAAATGGAAAATAAGGTTATTGTAAATATTCATTATATCTACAACAGTATATCTTAACGCACTATTGTATATCTCGATCAATTCACGAAAAACTGATTTCGATTATCTTTTAAAGTTATAACTTGATCAACTCACAATTTTTATGTTGATCATATGACAACTGGGTCAAATCAATACGTTATTAGTCATGATTGTTGATATGTTGAATATAACTTTTTATATGCGTAAAACCCAAAAACTGAAGTCTTTAGAATATTCACAAACGTATTCCAGGCAGGCAGATTTCGATGCTGGCGTTGAATACTCTAGACCTTTAAAAATGGATTTCAATGTGGATGCTCCTCAATCAATGAAGTGTGTAATGTGAGTAAGAGAACAACGTGATTGCTAAGCTGTCAGTTCCATACAATAAAAGATATATACACATTCAAGTCAGAAACAAAAACTCCAAATATGTGTAATTTTCAGTTAATACTTCTTGGATATATTATTTCATCATTGAAATTGTGGTAGTTGAAATAAGACCTTGTCATGAGCAATGTGCATTTGTGAAGAATGGACGTATTTATTTGATATCCTATAATCAGCGCATATTAGTGAGATGTTAAGTGTCGTATGTTCAATTATATAGGATAATTATGTATGATTAATGTATAGTCCACCCTAAAAGAAAATGAGAGTATTGAAAATACAGCGATTGATAGTCATCATGTAGCAAGGTCAGTTGATGTAACAAAATATTATTGATCGATTTGTCAACATAAGTGTCATCTTATCAGTGCTCATCATTTATTTATAATTTACTTTAGCAAAGCAATAAAATAATGGATTATTGAAAATAGTAACTTCAATAGCTCATGTCATTGCTAGGCTTAAAGGTACTCGGTTTCAAATTGATTGAGTCGAGAACACTTTCAGCAATCGAAAGAGAAGACATGATAACGTGTTTTTAGCTAATAATGTGTAGGACAAAATCATTGTGAAACCAATGATTTTTAGGAAACATTTACAAAAATTATATGAAAATAGTCTATAGTTCCGATAAAATTTTGATAATCAGTCAAAAAAGTTTGCTTAAAAATCAACAAAGTTCCATAGTACTTGATCGAACAGATACACAGTATTATTCTGCTCAGCATTAGCATGTGAGAAAGTAATTATTGAAATTATTTCTTGAACTATAGTTTCTCAGATTCCTCTATCTAGAAGCATGTCAAAATCAAAATTTCATCGAGATAATAGACTATTTTCACACACTTTTTGAATGTTTTATGGAAATCATTCGTTTTCAAATGATTTTGTCCTATATGTTATTGACTAAAAACATGTTCACATGTCTTCCTTCTTGATAATTGAAAACAGCAGATCTCAAGTTGCTTATGTTCTCGACTTGATCAATTGTAACCGAGTACCTTTAACTTTCATGCCGACATTAGATTAAAATAAATCCGACGTATAATAAACTAGAAGAAAATGTGTATTGCATAACCACAAATACATTATATCAATTACATTCACTGCTATACAAATATTGTTCGTTCGCTCGTGTCGACATAAAGAAACAGCTTATACAAAGGCAAAAGCTAATGAATAACAAGGGAGGAAAGTAAATAGATACTTTTATTCAGAAAAGATATTTGTCTCGTTATCATTCAGGCAAAAATATATATCAAAACTTATAGTACGCATGAATCTTTGTGCACACTTTTGATTTATTGGTTTGTACATCAATGACATATAATTCAAACAACCAGCTAGTCGATTACATAAATAATAAATAAAGATTACGATGAGTTAAAATCAACTATAACTCTAGTAGTTCTCAACCAAATCTTGTTTTTTATTAAAAATTATTATTCGATGTCTTTCTAACATTCTTTTGTTTGTCTTTTTGTTTTTTACTAATTTGATCCAATCATTTTCTCACATGACATTATTTAGATGTTTTCATTTATCATCATTTTGCAACATATATTCCATCAAATTGCACTTTCATAACTGGTGGTGGTCGATATACCACAAAATTCAATCGACGTAAATTGAAAAGTATTGCTCATGATATGGGCTTTGCACATGTCAATTTACTTAACATGGGCTCGACATGGTTTGTTTCATTATCTTTTCTTATATTAATAATATTATTCTTCTCTTCATGTAAAGGTATGGTTCACCATATGATGCATATTTAGTTGCTAATCAAACACTACATGGTATGCTATGGTTAGCATTATATGAATTTGCTATGCCGGAAAGAGAGTCTAAATTAGGAACATTGATGTGGCCTGAATGGTAAATATTTTTTTTATGAAATCAACTAAAATACATATACTTTTGTAGGCATTATGGTGTTTTACTTTTATATGGTCAACAATTAGCTTTAAATCATTTAGTTGGTATAAATCAAATTCGCATACTAATAGGTCATAATCTTCTCGACCAATTAACAACAGATGATAGAGTGGAATATGTTCAAAAAGGGATACGTCTTAATTTACATTGTTGGCATACAGATTTACCTTTTTCAAAATTTGTTTTCAAAATGGGTAAATATAATCAAACTGACTTAGAAAAATATAAAAATGGGAAAACTGCTCAAGCTTATGTAAGAACAAGAGTGAATGGAGAGAGAGAGAGATGCTAAAAATGTCTATTTTTCATTTGTATTTAAGGCAATGCGTATGGCACTTGAATCAAAGTATATGACACTTGAAGAATTGGCTGCATATGGAAGAAAAAAATCTTTGTCATCTTAAAACATATTAAACTTTTATCATCATCTATTGAATAGTTGTAATACGATTCAAATTACATACTATTACAACGAATTCATTTCTTCTTCGTTTATTTATAATGTCTAAACAAGTGCTAAGAATTTCATGAAAGCTGGATTTTATGTTGACTCAACGGAAAAAGAGCTATTTTTGTGAAAAAATATTAAGTATTGTACTTTGATCTTTTCTTTGTTGCTGTGATATTGTTGCTTATTGGTGTGGTTAATAAAAAAAAATCTGTTAATATAATTCCTGTAAGAGTCATATGTGAAAAACGATGTAGCTGTTCTTGCTAATCACATGAAGATTATTTTGCTGTAGCTGTTTTGGTACATATATCTCTTCATCATCCTTCGCATTAATTGTCGAGAAATGGGATAATGAAGTATTTCGTTCTTTATATAGAGATGTCATTAATATACAATTTGTGATCTATACCATGATCTGCTACGATATGCGACGCAGAAGTCCTGCACAGTGGAGAGAAAAATAGAGTCAGAAGTAATCCATTCAACTACTAAAGCTAATGACTTGGTATTATGTTTAATTATGTTTCTTATTTGACGCTGGTTATCAGTACATGTCTATGGTTACAATCAAACGCATGTTTTAGAAGCTTAAGCATACATATATTTGAACTTATATTACTCATTGGAAATTCAATTGATTTGAGAGATAAATAGTTATTATACAGGCCACTCTGCATGGATCTCAGCCCAAAATTATAATTGAAATGCCATATCTCAACAAGGGCTTAGATCCACTGTCTTTGTGCATCTATCAAAGTTGGTTGGCGACATCTACTATTTGATAATAGATTAAAATTCAAGTAAAAGTTCTAGAAATGCCGACAAAGGAATTATATCATTTATCAGTCGTTGCTTTTAAGCACATTACCGGCAGTTTTAGCTCTATTAGAGCAGAAGAAATCTCAAGAAGTAACAAATACCTGTAGTACATAGTAAACATATAACGCTAAATAATTGTAAAACATCTAATGAATATAATAAGAACATCAATCTGAAACATACATTTTACTTATAGGGTTGTATTAGTGATGTTGCCTTGTCTTACCTACTTTTTAGTAGTTGCTGCGAGACCACTATTACCTTTAATGAGAATCTCAAATGCAGTTAAATGCATATAAATAACAGTTTTCATGCCAACTGCAACATAGGATCACATCTCATAAATCAATTCTGGCACCTGATTGTCCACTGTCTGTGAAAGGAAGGATTGGAATGGAAAGAGATGATTCAAATTTTTTTATACCTATACTTCAACATTCCTGTTAGGTCATATTTAAGAAAACAAAGTCAAGAGGAATATAATGTGAATAAATGATAACTTCTTGGTACATTGAAAGACTTTAGCTAGAGTCTTCTAGTAACTTATGTTTCTATCGATTGATTTGAACAGTTTTTTTTACATATTCTTTTCTTGTCACAATCCTATGACTGGGCAAATCTTCAAGAACTGGTTATGAATATAAAATTCTTATTTCAATTAGATCATCCTTTCGTTCTATGAAGCTCCAAAAACTGATAAGACCACAGATAGAGCAAAAATCACTTTTTTTTCTCAAAATAACTCTAAAGTTTGTATAATCTTGTTCTTCAAAATTCTTTCAAAATAAATAAAGTAAAAAATAGCTACCAAGATATGAAGACTTATAGTATATGTACATAGGCACTTTTATAAATCTATCTAGTTCTTTGTAATAGAATATGAAACAAAATGTCTTATATGATTTGAATCAGTCAATTTAGAGTTACAAAAGTATCTGTTTAGTTTTTCTTTCAGGAGAAGCAACATCAAAATCTACACTGAACTACATACATTTTAGAAAAATTATTTTTTCATGAAAAACCAACTTGTATTTCCACTCACATGTGGTCTAGCATATATTTTCATGCTGATTCTGAATATGCTATTTATGTTGCTTTTCAATTGCGTTTTGATAATAGAAACCTCAATAAACAATACCATTTTTTATTCTTTTACAAAGAAATATTCCATTTCCTTAGTAATATAACAAAAATCTGAAAAAACTAAAAAGATACTGCTAATTATTCAAGCAATTTTAAAGATAACTGAATGACTTTTGCATCATTCTATTTAGTATACATTGCTTTACCCAACGATATAAAATATTTGCAATTTTTTTCTAGAAATTGCGTAAAAAAGAAGTATTCACATCTTCAAAAAATTTGTTTGTATTAGAAATAGAACCTATAATTATGGAGTCAAACGTAAAACAAAAAAGAATCTATACGACTGTTTGTAACAATCATTATCTCTTCCCAGTGCTCGAAAAAGTTGACGAAAAAGAACCAATTAGTCGGGAACGAAAAAATGAATTAATCAAATTTTAAAGCATTAACGAATAATTTCAATACGACACATTCACGTTTTAATAACAGTAACTTTGTTTATCATCATTCTCTTTCTTCTCCTTCATTCATTTATTGCATGCATCATCGACCATCAGTATGTATCTCGTCTACATAAAGTTAAGGAGACAGTAGTCATTTCTATCTGAATGCATCCATATTAACCTTGATCATAGCCAATCATTATTTCTTTTTCTTCTATGATACGATATGCTTCAAAATGGCCATACAAGAGATCAAGTGAGTTCACATTGAATTATGTGTTTTATTCATATAGTATGAAAGCGATAGAATGAATGAAAGCAGAGATGATTCTATTTTACTACTGATCTATATTAGTGTAGTTTTCATCAATTGAAGATGAATAATCTAATGAAATCATGCACATATAACGAAACTTTGTTTCGATTTGAGAAAAGATCAACAAGAATGAAGACAAATACACATTTTGATATTTTTAGATACTAGAAAGACATGTGTGTGAGACAAACTATAATGCTTTCTCAAGTCTAATGAAAATTGATTTCTAACATTGTACCAACAAATGTCACTCTAACCAACATCAATTTCATCCGTATCTATGACTGAAAGATCATAGAACTTCATTTTCGAAAATTTCAGCTTTTCAACTATTGTAGTCATTCTCAGTATTTTGTCTTTCTAAGCATTCTTCACGTTTTTTAAACATATAAAACGTAATGTATCTTGTAGAAAAAAAATACTCTCTATAATTTAGTCTAATAAAATTTGTGACATAGAAAATCTAGAACTATATTTTTTTAAATAGAGGATTTTGTAAGCTTTTAGACTTCTACATATCATTTTAGTTTAGTCTTTAAAAATACAACATCTTATTGAATTTTATTTTGTCTTTCAAATGAGATATTCCTCATAAAACATCAATTCAAGTACGGACGAGAAGAAAATGAATTCTGACATACGTATTTTTTGAAAAAATTGAAAATATTCATTTGTTTTTTTTTTTGCAACTTTGTATCTCAATGAAAAATCATTGTTTTGCTTTCATAATTTGCTTGTATTGGTCAGTTTCATTGAAGAAAAATTGATTTCTTTTTATCAAAAGATGGTTTTGAATAATAGATAGCCTGTATGAAAATACTGACAACTCAACTTGGATATAAGCAACACTTTCATTCAGTATCATATTTCATTAACAATTGTTTGCACATTGAATATAACAAATTGAATCACGTATAATGAATTTCAAAGTTCAAGTGTATAGATTTTATTGAGTTTTCTACACAATGCTTGAAAAAAACACTGGCATCAAATTTATGATATAAAACTTCAAACGATTCTGGTCATTATTTTTGTATTGAAAATAAAACTGAATAATATTATTGCATTATTGCCCTCAGACAATAATTAGAACATCTAGTAACTTAAAGGACATACTTAATCTAGATGTACAACAATTCTTGAACTAGACATAGATAAGTGTGAGTTTCATAAAAAAAGAAAGAACAATAGTTAAACAACAAACGATATAAGATGGAACAAAATAATGACGATGATTCTATCTTGTAAGATATGTGCTATTTAAAGAACGTCAAATGATTATGTAATGATGTATCCTGGTTTGTACTCAAAATGTTCTATCAGTATTAAAGAAAAACATATTGAGATTGTTTATTCTTTTTTTATCAAGAAAATTCAAAGCCTAATAATTTACAATAATAAATATGTCTATTCTGATCAGTAGAGGACGTGTAGATCTTGATGAAAGTTGATGCAAATGTTTTTTTTTCTTTTCTTTTTACGATCTCATAGAGGAAGTATATTGGAAGAAAGCAAAAATATTTCCGCTAGGAGTATACATTTTCCATATTGATGTTCTATTACTATCGTAATGCATGTTAATATAACAAAGCGTGGCAATACATCACAAGGTCATATTTATTTGATATTCTATTCGAACTTCTTGTATTGTATGTGAAAAATATTAAATTCAATACGTAAGTTTATGATTTAAATTTCCTCCATATTGATTATATCAATTATGTGATTCTGTTTAATTTATTCTTGTGAGAAAATTATTTATCAATATGTTTACTTAAACAATAAGTATAAATCAAGTTGAATGTTAAAATATTAAAAAAATCCTAGTCTCATAATTTTAGATGAAATAATAATATGAGTTTTCTATTTTGATAAAGTTTTCTATAAATTTAAGGTATTCTCAGTAATGTCATACTTTTTAACATTCTTTTTTTTCTGCGTATTGTATAAAATAAGGTTTCTTTTTAAATTAATTACTTTTTTTTTCGACTACAAAAAAAAAAGAATTTTGAATTATCTCATTATTACTTTTTTCTTCTTACATTTTTCAAATAAAACAAGATTATTATTTATTTTGCTTCTATTTGTTTTTAGTTAAGTATAAAATTTGTTAATACTACATTAATATGTATATATAGATTCTCCCAAGTATATAAATTCAATGTGTATTCTCAATATACGTTAAGGATTTAAAATATACGATTGAAAAGACATCTGTAAATATGGTCATCAGTTAGTTCTTTTAAAGCTGTTATTACATCATCAGTGAATATTTGTCAAATTCTATTG